AGCTTACTAAATGTCTGGCACTGATCCAAACACGCCTAATTTCTTTTAATGAGGTAGCTATCATTAACTTCTCCACTTAGCATATAATGAAAATGAGGCCACAAGATAAGTTAAGGATTTGTCCAAGTAACTCAGCTAATAATTGGCATACAGGGATATGGATCCAGACACTCTGGCCCAGAACCCATTGTATGAACCACTGTATTACATGGTTTAAGGAACTAAAGACCAAAGGAAAAAAAGTCAATTTACTAAGTTTGAATGATTTTCAATCTATGACTGGAGAACAGAGCAATTTCATGCATTGTATATTTTCTCAGAAATCCAAGGATGTTGACTTGGTAAAGAATGTTAATTAATAATAAATATTATCTCAATGTAAAATTAACCATATGTCAACATAGTACTGTTTAACAATAAGATATACAGAAATGTTTACTTTCCCTAGAGTGAGAATGACCTACTGTTATCTACTGGTAAAGATTAGCCTCCTGGAATGGCATACTAAGGCCACTTGACTATCATATGACAATCTTACTCGCATTTTCTAGGTATTTTCCAAAATTCACTTTAGAAAAACAGAAAAGACTCAATCACTATGCCATTATTTTTAAAAATATGTTTGTATTGATTTTAGAGAGAGAAGAAAGGAGAGGGATATAGAAATATCAATGAGAAAGAAATATCGATTGGCTGCCTCCTGCATACTCCCAACTGGGGATTGAGCCTGCAACCAGGCATGTGCCTGACTGGGATTAAAATAGGTGGCCTGGATTCATTGCTTGTGCCCAGATCACTGAGCCGCACCAGCAGGCACTATGCCATTATTAATATTAGTTTTGTATTCTTAATCCCTTTTTCAAATTAGCATTTTCAACTAAGAAGTGAGAGGTACCGGTAGTCAATATTAATTTATTTGCAACATTAAAGAAAATTATGTAGGTGATAAAATAACAAAAAATTAAAAAAATTAAAGCAACATTATTCATCTTGCAAGATGCCATCTAAAAAATATTTGAAGTAAAGAACTTGTAAAGTATTGGTATACATTTTAAAAGCAAACACCTAAGAATAATATAATTATAAATAGGGAAAAATAGATTCGTTGAGTAGAATATTCTTCATAATATCAATTAACAAAGTGGCAACACAAAAAAATTTTTTATCCATTTTTGACCTTGGGAGAAATATTTTTCTCAGGCAAGTTTCACCTAATTGGGTAGGGGGAAAAAATGTGCCCAGTCTCTGATTTTAAATTTGCCAAAATAACAATAACAATACTACTTATTTAAATTAAACCCACAACTTATGTTCTAATATGTCCAACTGAGATAATTAGTTAGAATAGAAATAAGGACATTAAACTCTGAAGATTAATAGTTAATGAAAACTGCTGAAAATGGTTTGGTTCAATGGATAGAGCGTCGGACTGCGGATTGAAAGGTCCCAGGTTCAATTCCGGTCAAGGGCATGTACCTTGGTTGTGGGCACATCCCCAGTAGGGGGTGTGCAAGAGGCAACTGATCGATGATTCTCTCTCATCAATGTTTCTTACTCTCTATCCCTCTCTCTTCCTCTCTGTAAAAAAATCAATAAAATATATATTTTTAAAAATAGTTAATGAAAACCATACTGCAAGGTGAAGCTTCTTTATTAAAATGGGTAAAAAATAAATAGAAGGTATGTTTTAAAATTCCAATCGAAAATACAAAAAAATTTAACAAAAATATGCTATAAAATTTAATTGCTAATAGTCTGTTTCAATGTAACGGTAAAGTGAATTCAAAAAATGGGAGAAAGCACTATTTACCCACAATAAAAAAATACACTACTTAAAATTGTGGAATAAAGCTAAAGCACTACAAGATAAAAATTTTTAATGAAAATGTGGTAAAAGTACAATTATAATAAATGCAATGCATAACAGTGACAATTGGGACACATTAATTAATTGATAATAAGAAAATGGAGTATTTGGAAACAGATTAAAAGTATTACTGATAAGACCACTGTGATGACTTATGAAGCTCTGGAACTCATCACATCTGTATCCTACAGAACAACTAACCTGATTGTCTCTCTTCTCAGCTAAGATATAAGCAATGTCAAGGAGCATTTTATTCCAAAGCCGATAATCATATCTGGCCATAACTGCCTTGTAACTGTCCATGCACAAAGTCTTTGAAGCAGAGGATTAAATGTTCCTGCCCATTTTATCTAGTCCCCAAGACTCGTCCTGCAAAGTGAATAAAAATGATTATCTTTTAATCTACCCCTTTAACACACAAACCATAAAAAAAAAAAAAAAAAAAGAAAAAAAAAAAAAAAAAAAAAAACAAGTAAGAGGGCAAAAATGAGAACAGAAATCCTTGAAAAGATAGATAATTATTAAATCCACCCTGGAATTAAGTTTTCAGCAAGAAGATCACTGTGCTTTGTTGAAGGGTAGGGTGACTGATACCTCACATTTTATAAAACTGAGTCTCGGAATGTATAATCATTAACACAGATACGTGGAAATTACAGTAATATTTTGAAGTAAATTTGAGAATGACTTGAAAAATGGTTTTAGCTTTTGAACAAGCAATATAAATATAATGATCTGTTTTTCTTGATATCTGATTTTGAAAAGTAATTTCAAATTCAAATAAGCTAGATAATCATATAAAAATAGCACTTAGGTACGACAAAATAGAGCATTCATCAAGCAGTTTTTAAAAAAGCTATCATGATTACAGGTAAATTGTGCAAAGAGAAAGACAGAAGGAGGCACTGGAAGGAGGAGGGAACTGCTCAACTCATAAGGAATAGGAGGAAAGCAGTAATTAAAATATATTTAAGTATATGTAAAATTAGGATATGTATATAACCAAAGGAATAAATATAGGGAAAAACAATACAAAAATAAAAGTCATCAAAAATGTGCCAATGGAAAGGAGAACTGAAAAAGACCATCCTAAAGTAGGTGATAAATACTTCATTGACATGGCAGTGAAGAATAAACGCAAATGAAATAAAGTGCACTTTATAGGAAATTCAAACGTTTTAAAAGTAAAAATATTCTGAATATTTCTACAATATATAGTTCCTTCTCTCGTTGTCTTAGAGTATGTGACATATATTTAATCTTTTATACAAAATGCACGTGGCTTTCTGATTAAAGAGATAGCTTGCCTCTACAGAAGCCCCAAGATTGATCTCTATTTTGATATCTGTAAATAATTTTTGTCCTTTTTTTTATGAATTATCATTTCACAATTGTATCAGAAAGATAACATCTCATGTTTGCTTCTCCTTTTCTCTTGGCTTTAGGAAACCAGATAATTTTTTATAACAGCAACTCTGGCTATTCAGAATCAATTTCTATTTTATGTTTGTTTGTTATTTCCAGTCACTGAATTTGCTATCCATCTGACAACCAGCTAAATGGACATTCTATACATAGATAGAAGAAAGTAAGATGAAAAGTAAATAGAAAATATAAAGAAAATGCCAAATGCAGAAAATAATAAAAGTCATGAAATTAGAAAGAAAAGAATGCATCAGATACTTTTTAATAATAAATAATATATAGTAACTTAAAAAAAAAAGATATGTGGTAAAAGATCTCTTTTTTTCTTCCTAATAATGAGCAAGAAGATACTCTCAAGACACAGAATAAACTGTTTGATGTTTGTTCTGTACAGGAAAATTTCAACAATAAATTGGTTTTATTTTACCTTTTTAAAAAAGATAAAATTGGGTATAAGATATTTTTCTAATAATGACCAAAAGGACACCCTTAAAAAAACACACACACCAAAACCAACTATGTTTCATGTTGTTTCTTATCAAACTGTAACTACGAATAATGGACACTAATAGAATAGATGAACTAAACTACACTGAATGGGGAGAGGGGGAGCAATAACTCATAACAGTTGAAGCAAAAAAAAAAAATCAAAATATTAAATCAGGGGTTGGCAGTATATAGTCACCAAGATATCAGCATCACCTAGAAACCTGTTAAACTCCGGGGGTAAGGCCATGCAATCTGTTTCAATAAATCCTGTAGCTGATTCTGTTGCATGCTAAAATTTGAAAATCAATGCTTTAATTATATTAGATAAACGAGAAATCTAAATGCAAGATGAACTGTAATGAAGTGAAACTAAATCTAGCTTTTGTTCTGATAATGTATGAGATAAACAAACAAAGTTACTGCTACTAAAAAAAATGTAATTTGGAAGTATTTAAATATTTGTGCATGTACAAACACACATAGACACACTGTGTATCATAGGTGAAAAAAATAGTCATTTTAGGTAAGCACAGTTAAAGTTGTTGAAGGAAAACAGAACAATTTACAAAATTACTTTGTTATGGGGGGAAAAAGGGAAAAAATTGATGTATAATACTTGGCTGAGACGTTATCTAGATAATTCTAAGATGAAAGTAAAAGTGAAAACTATAAACTATCAGTTATTCAGATTATCTAGTCTACATTAATGAACTGTTTTGCGACATTACATTCAGATATGCTTAGGATAGTATAGTACTACAAATAGGAAGAAAGCCAGATTATAATAATTAGATGGAATTGTTTTCAAATAAGTATGTACACATTATGGACAATAACAATGAGCAATAAAACAATGTAAAAAATACTATGAATTTTAAATTTCAACTATTATTTGAAATTTAATATGAATATGGCCTATTAGATTCCTAAATTTCTTTAATTATAAAAGACTAAAAGAAAATAAATTCAGAGAGATATTTGTTGACATTTGCTAGAAATTCTCATTCTCAAGGCTATCAAATGCTAGTTATCAAAATAGGCATATATTTTACCTGCACAGATGTACACAAACCATTCAGATGAATTTGAAAGGGAGAAAAATGATATTTTTCAGGAGCACAGTAATAATTTTAAATTAATATTTAACTCGAAGGTTTAAATTGAATTGAATATATTCAATAAAACTAAATGAAAAGGAAATAAAATGTTGGTTACTCACCAGCAAGGGTGCTTGTATGCCTAAAAGCTCTGACCTGGGAGTCTGACAAACCAGTCAAAAGGGAGATTACTGTGTCCATCATATACTCATCATAAATTATGCTATACTGACACTGTCGAATCAGGACGCCAATAAATTCACAAAAGTTTGAACGAAATTTTTTCCACTGAGGTCCAGGCATGGTAAGGGGATAATCACCACTGTCCTAAAAGAGATAAAAATATATTAAATATAACATGATATTAATTTGAAAGTTTATTTTTTCTTCTTACCTGTAAAGGGACATTTTTCTCAAAGTAAATGGGGACAGAAAGTGGAGATAACTTACACAGGTACATTGACAGCTTTATTATTTTTTTGTTTATTTTTATCACCTACAATTAATTCTTAATCTACTCAAAATTATTACTTAGACCCAGTATTTAATGAATTGTTTTAGGCCATTCATCTAAAATAATAGTTCCATTGTGTTGCATTTGGGTCTTAGTTGAGATAATTTGAAGCAGAAAACAAAAACTTTATAGAAGTTTAGATATAAAAGGTATTTGCCATTTAATTCAGATCAAAGTATTCATGATACCTATGTTATGCATTTTTAATTACTTTAATAGAATTTTTAATTGAAAATTTCAAAAGTATAAACATTTTAGCCCTGGCTTGTGTGACTCAGTTGGTTAGTGTTGTCCCCTGCACCAAAAGGTTGCCGGTTCTATCACTGGCATGTTCAGGAGACAACTGATTGATGTTTCTCCTTCACATTGATGTTTTTCTCTCTTTTTCTCTAAAAATCAATAAATAAATATCTTTAGATGAATTATTTTAAAAAAAAAAAAAAGGAAAAATATAAAGAATGGTAAAGAAAGATGGAAAAAGTTTAGGTGTTTGCTCTACTGAAGTGGAACCAACCATGTACTATCTACTCATACATTTATTTTGCATGAGACAAACTCCTGTGAATTTAAAGTCACTATTGACCACTTTCTGTTACTCACAGATAAATGCAATTATTTATGGTAAAATTATGAACAGTGGGGAAAGATGAATTATTTAGTAAACGATTTTGATAAAGCTAGCTGTTCATTATAAAAAACAAAATAGCCCTAGCTGATTATGCTCAATGGATAGAGCATCAGCCTGTGGACCAAAAGGTCCTGGGTTTGATTCTGGTTAAGGGCACATGCCCAGATTGTAGGCTCTATCTCACTAGGGAGCATGCAGGAGGCAGCTAATCAATGATTCTTTCTCATCATTGATGTTTCTATCTTTCTCCCTCTCTGAAATCAATATATATATATATATATATATATATATATATATATATATATATACACACACACACACACACACACACACACACATATATATATATATGAAAAAACAAGATATGCATTGTACCTTTCACCTAAATAAATTCCTAATGAACCAAAACACTTTAAAATATTCAACCAAAAAAGAAATCGCAGAAAACATGGGTGAATATTCTTACAATAGGGAAGTATTTTTCTAAATACAATACAAAAACCAGAAAATTCTAAACCAACAAATTCATCCAAATAAAAATAATTTTTGTATTACAGAAAGTATTTCTCTTGTTCAGGCCTGCAGGAGATGACCCTTAACTGTTGTGGGAAGAATAAGAAGCCCAGATCACTTCTCTAAATCTTTATCACCTACAAATCTGATGGGAGTTCAGCAAACTGAGTCACTATACCATAGCACAGGCAAAGAACCCCTGTAGACTTCACTGCGTGCACTCACTCACTCGCGCGTTGTGGCTCTGGCTCCCCTGGTCTCTCAGTCTGGCCAGACCTCTCTGCGTGCACTTACTCGCATGCTGCAGCTCTCGGCTCCCCTGAGCCTGGTGAGCTTTTAAAAATCCCATGCCCAGGTACATACTTAACAAATTACATCAGAATGTCTGAGGAATGTAAAATAGAGCCAGGCATCTGTAGTTTTTAAATATCCCTAGGTGATGAAATTCATAGCATTACAGGCCTACCTCAAAAAAAAGACTGGTCATTCTACTGTTCTGTCAATTTGCATATCAGCCTTTTATTATATAGAACTAGAGGCCCGGTGCATGAAACTCATGCCCAGAGGGGGTGTGTCACTCAGCCCAGCCTGCACCTTCTCCAATCTGGGACACCCCTCTCACAATCCAGGATTGCTGGTTCCCAACTGCTCGCCTGATGCCTGCCTGATTGCCCATAATCGCTTCTGCCCTGCCAGCCTGATCACCTCTTAACCACTCCCCTACTATCCTGATCAATGCCTGACTGCTCCCCTGCTGGCCTGATTGCCCCTAACTGCTTTTCCCTGCCTGCCTGGTCACCTCCAACTGCCCTCCCTTGCAGGCCTTGTCCCTCCCAACTCCCCATCCCTGTAGGCCTTGTTGGCCCCCAACTGCCCTCCCCTGCTGGCCCAGTCACCCCTAACTGCTCTTCCCTGCAGGCCTATTTCTCCCCAACTGCCTTCCCCCGCAGGCCTGGGTCCCCCTCAACTGTCCTCCCCTGCAGGCCTGGTCGCCCCCAACTGCTCCAACTGCCTCCCCTGCCAGCCATTTTGTGTCCATATTGAGGCGGTCATCTTTGACCACATGGGGGTGGCCATCCTGTGTGTTTGAATGATGGTCAATTTGCATATCACATCTTTATTATATAGGATAGTCAAGCTATGGAAATAACCCAAGTGCCCACAATAAACAAGTGGATAAAAAAACTTATAATACATATATACAATGGAGTATTTCCTGACCATAAAAAGAATGAAATTTTACTATTTGCAAAAGCATGGATGGACCTAGAGGGTATTATGCTCACTGAAATAAATCAGTCAAGAGAAAAACACCACATAATTTCATTTATATGTGGAATCTAAAGAATAACATATATAAACAAACAAAACAGAAACAGGCACATAAACACAGAGAACAGACTAATGATTGCTAGAGAGGAAGAGGTTTGGGGAATTGGGTGAAAAAGGTGAAAGGATTGAGAAGTACAGATTGGAAATAGTCATGGAGATGTAAAGTTCAGCATAGGAAATATATAATAGTCAATAATATTGTAATATTAGGTCTAGTAATAATTAATGTCGTTTCAAACAGTTTAAAATCTTGCTTGGCGTTGACTTGTATTGACATAACCTTCAAACACGTGATATCTACAGAACGTGTGAAGTGCAATTAACAAGTTTTGCTTGAAAAAGTTTGTGTTTGGTTTGGTTTTTGTTGCAAAACTAGGGCTAAGAAGATGGCGGATGAAGAGCATATTCGGCACTGCATGCTTTACGAGTTCCAATTAGGAAGAAAAGCAAGTGAGGCTGCAAAAAACATCTGTAGTGCTCTTGGTCAAGATGCAGTTAGCGCCAGAAAATGCCAGCGTTGGTTTGAGAAATTTCGCGAGGGAAATTTTTCGTTAGACAAGAGTGGTCGAGGCCCTGTGTCCAATTTTGATCAAGAAGCTCTTCAAGCTCTTTTGGTGCAAAATCCTCAAATTACCCAACAAGAGCTTGCGACAACTTTAAATTGTTCACAAAAAACAATTTCCAATCAATTGCGTGCACTTGGCAAAGTCCAAAAGTTTGGAAAATGGGTTCCTCATGAGTTGACCGACAACAACCGTAATCAAAGAGTCACAATTTGCAGTTCGCTCCTCTCTCGTCAAAATCGTTTGCCGTTTTTAGAGCAAATTGTTACCGGAGATGAAAAATGGGTGCTGTATGTTAATTTGAAAAGGCGGCCTCAATGGTTGGACAAAAATGAGGCTCCGCAGCCCACGCCAAAACCTGACTTGCATGCGAAAAAAGTGATGTTGTGTGTTTGGTGGAATTTTAAAAGAATTCTTCATTATGAACTTTTACCATCTAACCAAACCATTACAAGTGCAGTGTATAGTGCCCACTTGGAAAGGTTAGCCCAAGCTTTAAGAGAAAAAGAACCCGCGCTGATTAATCGGAAGGGCGTAATTCTTCACCACAATAATGCACGACCGCATACTGCAAGAATCACTGCTGAAAAACTGCGCCAGTTGGAATGGGAAGTTCTCCCTCAACCTGCATATTCTCCTGATATTGCCCCTTCTGATTCCCATTTGTTTCGTTCTTTGCAAAACTTTCTTCTTGGAAAAAAATTTAATAATGAAGAATGCCTCAAAAATGCATTGACCGAATTTTTTGCATCAAAATCACAAGAATTTTACAACAGAGGGATTAAAATGCTTCCTGAGCGTTGGGCACAAGTAGTAGAAAACAACGGCAACTATATTGTTGATTAAATTTTGTTGTATTGTTTAAATAAATTCGATTTAAAAAAGGTATTAGAAAACGACATTAATTATTACTAGACCTAATAACTATATATGGTGCCAGTTAGGTACTAGAAATATCAAGGGGAACACTTTGTAAGGTATATGAATGTCTAACTACTATGCTGTACACCCAAAACTATACAAAATAATACTCTATGTAAGCTTTAATGTAAAATTAGAAAATTAAGTAAAATAAATACCCTGAGGTGATATTAATGTGGGAAGTTTGGAAACTATCATCTTAAACTCTTAATAATCATTCCATCTTGTGTTATTGCTCTGATAATCTGAGATGTGTACTATTAAATCTGTAACCTGAATCATCTCTATTTCAATTCTGGCATGGTAGTTCAGTAGTCAGTCAGTAAACCTGCCACTTGCACACTAATCTGGCTTCCTTATCTCCTATTCGCTAAATATAAACTCATAAAGTAACAAAATATTTTATAGGAAAAGGGATCCTACAGAAATATTTCAGAATCTACTTTTTTAGCTACAAAAGTTAATACAGTGCACATAGCTTATATTCCATCAATAACCCCAAAATAATCTGGGCCAGCACCCTAAAATCAAGAACATTACTATTTCAACAAAAATACATAAAGATGTTTTCACTGAATAGGATAAAAACAAACTATAAATAGTCTTATATTAGTTGAGGCCAGGTTTTGCCACTGAATAAATTGCAAAAAAGTTCTTTGGAATTTCAGAGCTATTTTGGATTACAGAAATTAAGATAAGCAATTATGGAGATACACACACACACGCACACACACACACACGGATCACAATGTGAGATCTCTCCAACTTCCCACAGAATATGACTAAACAGTCTAAAAGGCACTGACAGAATATTTCTGTAAATACGCACAAAAAAATGTTTTAGTGTGTGCTGCTGAAGTAAAGGAAAACATCTGATTGTGCAATGTGTGTTTGAGGAAGTTGGTAGTACAAAATATATACTACTACAACTACTACTACTACACTACTACTACTAAAAAACCCCACGCCCTGAAAGAGTGAACCTAAAAGAGAACTAATCTTTGTTGTTAGTGTTGAAAGTCAAGAAAAAAAAACATCTACCAGAAAATAGAATTTTTACTTAAATCAAAAGGCATAATGTTAAAATTGGAATTAAACACAATGCAGAAATAAAACTATGTAAGCATTTCAACATCAAATCTGTGTAAAACTACTTCAGAGAATTATTTCAATGAAAATTTAAAAATGTGTAGAAAAATGAGTTCTGCATGGTTAATCTGTGAAGACTAGCAAAGAAAACATGTACCATAAATCACAATATCCTCAGTGTCCCTAACACATGCTTAAGTTTTACGTGTGTGCGTGCGCGCCACAATTTGCATATCACATCTTTTAGCTATAAAAGTTAATACAGTGCACATAGCTTATATTCCATCAATAACCCCACACACGGGAAGGGCATGTGGTAAAGGTCGACATAAAATAATTTTGGGCCGAAACCGGTTTGGCTCAGTGGTAGAGCGTCGGCCTGTGGACTGAAAGGTCCCAGGTTTGATTCCAGTCAAGGGTATGTACCTTGGTTGCGGGCACATCCCCAGTGGGGGGTATGCAGGAGGCAGCTGGTCGATGTTTCTCTCAGCAACCGTTTCTAGCTCTCTATCTCTCTCCCTTCCTCTCTGTAAGAAAATCAATAAAATATATTAATAATAATAATAATATTAATAATTTTGAGAATTTTGAATTGAAGTTTAGCAGTTTTTTTCTCCATTAGAATTTTTAAAATCATATGCAATCTGTTCACACTTCTTTGTCCTCCAAATCCTTTTTCTTTAAGCATTTAATAGGACTAGCATTCCACAGAATATTGAACTGTTGGAGATACCTCTTTAAATTGGGGATTTTAGGTGACCTTCAAGAATGAGTGTCAAGAATCAACTTCTATCTCATACCATTGATATTTTTCTCCTTAATGTTTACTTAGTGTATCCTCCATGCAACATTATCAAATCCTCAGAGATTATTAATTTTGGAATTAGAAGCATGGATTATCATATATACATGAGGAAATAGTGTATCTTCATCATTTATACTAACCACTAAATCAAAACAAAACTTAAAATAATCAACGTTTAAAAGTATAAGTAGGACATTTGTATAAATATTGAAATGCTATATACCTCATCAAATTCTTCAGTCATTTTTCTGATGATTTCTGCATTCTGCATATTTCGAAACATCTCTATTCTCACAGTACCTGTGAAACAACAGATTTTACAGTTAATCTTTTTCTATTCCATGCTGAAATTAAATTTTATCTGACCATAGTTTGGAAAATTTTATATGCTTGGGTTTTTCTTTCCTCCACCAATCTGGTATCTATACGAAAAAAAAAAAAAAAAAAACCTCTTAAGAAGTTCAAAGTTCTGTAGACATTTTTTAAAAATGGAATATTCTGTGAAATATAAATATAAGAAAAAATACTGAGAGGAGTATTGGGAAAGGAAAAAGCGGAGATATAAAACAAATTTATATTGTAGGGAGAGTTCTAAAAATTGACTTAGACATATGTTGGCTGTTATCCAGAAATATAGGTGGCTGCCTTAGTCTGAGTCCATCTGTATGGTATTATCTCCTTTCATGGCCCTTATGATATTCTTTATCACCAGAATATTCTTCAATAGATTAATATGAAATGTCCCTTAATTTAGTAACACACTTCAATTAAAATATTTTCTCTGAACTTTTCATAAAAAGTTGCTCAGTGCCCCAGCTAGTTTGACTCAGTGGATAGAATGTTGGCCTGTAGACTGGAGGGTCCCAGTTTCGATTTTGGTCAAGGGCATGTACCTCGGTTGCAGGCTCCTGGCCCTGGCTAGGGGGTATGCGAGAGGCAACCAATCGTTATGTCTCTCTTATATCGGTGTTTCTCTCTGTCTCTCTCTCTCCCTTTCACTCTCTCTAAAAAATCAATGGAAAAAATATCCTTGGGTGAGGATTTAAAAAAAGAAGTTTTTCCAGTAAATTCTACATAAATATCAAGCAAACAAAAAAGTTAATTCCCTTTTCATCTTTCTTTCATATTACTTTTAGCTACTTTATTTTTATCTCAAACATGATTATGTAAATATTATTAGTTTTACAATAATGATGAGTGGTTTATACCAAAAACTTAGGTTAAAAATGAAGATAATTCAATAATATTAAAATATGGTTTAAAGTCAACCTTAAAGACAAAAAATACTGGCCTAATAATTAAACAATGTTCAATTTCAGCTGTATAAATGTTAAACATTCAAGTTAAAAACTCAACAGATTGAGGAAGGCAATGTGGGAAAAAAACAAAAAAACAACAACTCAATGAGTCAGTAAGAAAATAATTACTTTATAAACCTGTCTGGCTCCTTGCCAGTGTTTACCAGCTCCAATTCAAATCACATTTAGTAATGTGGGGACATCTCTGAAATGTACTGTACCCTCTTACAGAAAACAGCATGGAACCAAACAGCCACTAAAAGTCATCAAGATATAGTCTTAATTCATAAACTATAATGGCACATTAAACTGAATCTGACTTAATTTTTACTACTCTGTAAAATGAGAAAAGTCATACCTGCTCTCTTTTAATCAAAACTATTTTAAAGAACATTTTAATTACATGATATACAGGACAGGCCAAAAGTTGGTTTACCATTGTTTGTATGGAAAACAATAAATAATAATACAAAGAATAAGCTCTGTGTTTCGAGTATTCATACTGGGAAACGACCTTTTCCCCATATTGTATAGCTCTCTCATTCATTTTTAGGATGCTGAGTTATGTACCACCAATAGGTATTCCCTATAAACAGATGTAGGGATGAGAGAGTCTAGATTGGGAGGTTCGGGTGAATAAAAAAATATTTTTAAAGAGTTCCACCACAACATCCAATTCCCTAAACAAAATGAGAAACTGTTATATTGTGTTTTTTAATGCCAAAAAACAGTACTATAAATAGTATTCAATAGTTTTGTTGATGCCAATAGCCTTTATTTTCAGACAATTTTTAAAAATTAAATAAACTAAAAACACATTAAATTGCTAATTATAAATTATCTCAAGTAAAAGTTACTTTGTGTCAGACATTCTTAGAATCAAATTAAACAAAACTGTTTAACTGTACAGTTGACCTTGAACAACATGGGGGTTTGAGGCATCGAACCCTCATATAATCAAAAATCCATGTGTAACTTTTTACTCCCCCAAAATGTAACTTTAGGCATCTCTCAGTATCATGCGGTATTGGCTCCAAGGACCATTAAATTCTCAAAAGAATATAAAATATACTGTTTTCAATTGTCAATAGGTTGAATTTGTGAATATGAAACTCTGGGATACAGAGAGCTGACTATTTTTTGGGGGAGGAAAATCCACCTATAAGTAGACCTGCACATTTCAAATCTGTTGTTCAAGGGTCTATTATATTTAACATTGTTTGGGTCATGAACTATTTTGTCAATCTGAAATGGACTACCATAGATAAAAAGCATGTAATTTCGATTCTGGTAAACCAAGATGGTGGCCTAAGCAAGCACCTAAGCTGCCATCTTGCACAACAATTTCAAAACAACTAAAAGACAGAACGGACATCATCCAAATCCACAGGAAAACTGGCAAAGTGAGAATTCTACAACTAGAAAGAAGGAGAGAGGCTCACGGATCGGATTGGGAGCCGCAAAGCACTGAGGGAGGGAGACGCTCGTGTGCAGAAGAGCAGCCAAATGCCTGGCTGGCAGGAGGGGAAAGGAAGTCCCCAATTGTACTGAACCCTTTATGACTGTACTGAACCCCAACCCTAGACAAAACCCCATGGACCCAGCCTCATACGGGTGGAGTCTAGACTGTAGAGAAAGGCACCTGGCGACTCAGAGACTGGGAGACTGGGGGAGCCGGGAGCCGCAGCGGGCAGGGTCTACAGTCCTGTGCAAGTGAGTGCCCACAGAGGTCTGACCACGGAGGTTGCCGAGGCCTCTCCATAGCGGAGAAGCTCCAGACTACTGAGACCCAACCCAATTACAGGCGAGCCCCTGGGGCACACACACTCTTGCACGGGGAATCTGAACAGTCAGGCGGAAACTCAGGGGAGCCATGGAAGACAGAGGTCAGGCGGAAACTCAGGCGAGCGCACAAGGGCAGGACTGACAGGAAGCCAAGACTGTCAGCTCAGCCGTGAGACTCTGCCCCATCCAAGCTGAGCACAGAGGCTTTGGCAATTTTGCAAGTCTGATCCTATAAGACTGTCACCAATACAGAGTATTGGAGTAGATACAGCTGATACTCACATCCAATGGGCCTGGAGGTCAATTTCTCCCAGTGATACCAACAATAATCAAGTCTTAACTACAACAAGGCTGTTCACGCAGTCCACAAAGGGGAGAACCAAGAGTGTCCACCTCAGGTAACTGGGGAGGCTGACCCACTGGGCCACATAGGACACCAAACACACAAAGCAATCCTACCAACTCTAGGAAGCAGTGAAAATGCCTAAACAAGGAAATAGATCTCAAATGAAAGAGATGGAGGAGAATAAAAGACTGGATATAGAGTTCAAAACCATGGTTATAAGGTTTTTCAAGAATTTTCTAGAAAAGGCCAATAAATTTAATGATATTATACAGAGATCCAACAGCAGACTGGAGGAACACATGAATCAAGTCAAAAATTTGGAATACAAAGAGCCAAAGGACATTCCTAAGGAAAAGCAAGAAGAAAAGAGAATCCAGAAAGTTGGAGATAGTGTAAGGAGCCTCTGGGACAACTTCAAGTGTACTAACATCAGAATTATGGAGGTGGCAGAAGAAGAGCGAGTGCAAGATACTGAAAACCTATTTGAAGAAATAATGTCAGAAAACTTCCCCCATTTTGTGAAAGAAATAGACTTACAAGGACAGGCAGCACACAGAACCCCAAACAAGAGGAATCCAAAGAGGCCACACCAAGACACATCATAATTAAAATGCCAAGGGCAAAAGACAAAGAGAGAATCTTATAAGCAGCAAGAGAAAAGCAGTTGGTTACCTATAAGGGAGCACCCATACAACTATCAGCTGATTTTACAATAGAAACTATGCAGGCCAGAGGGACTGGCAAGAAATATTGAAAGTGATGAATAGCAAGAACCTACAACCAAGATTACTGTATCCAGCAAAGTTATTCAGAATTGAAGGGCAGATAAAGAGCTTCACAGATAAGAAAAAGCTATAGGAGTTCATCAGCACCAAACCAGTATTATATGAAATACTAAAAGGTATTCTTTAATAAAAGGAAGAAAAAAGATGAAAATTATGATCAACAAATACATATATATCAACAAGTGAATCTAAAAATCAAGTGAATTAAAAAACCAAGGAAGAGAATAAACTGGAGAATATAATAGAATCAGGGGCAAAGAAAGGGAGTGGATTGATAATTAACAAGGGGAAAGGGGTGTGGAGGGAGCAGGAAGAGACTGGATTAAAATCATATACCTATGGATGAGGACAATGGCAGGGGTGGGAGGGAGGAGATAAGGGCAGAAGGTTGGGTGGGAACCAGGTGGAAGGGAGCTATGAGGGGAAAAAGGAGAAACAATTGTAATAATCTGAATAAAATTAAAAAAAAAAAAGCATGTAATTTCAGGGGTTGCTTCAATGTATTCTTGATAAGTAAAATTATATTCATAAGTACTAAACAACAAGTAAAATTAGTTGTTCTTTAGATGGTGATAACATATATTGACTAGAATGTCATTACAAGGTTGTATATATTTGTCAAAAGTCATCAATATATACACATTTTAAGTATACAGATTGACGACTTTTGATTAAAAACAAAACAAAACAAAAGAGCCCTAACTGGTTTGGCTCATTGGTTAGAGCATCAGCCTGCATATTCAAGGGTCCTAGGTTCAATTCCAGTCAAGGGCATGTACCTTGGTTGTGGGCACATCCCCAGTAGGAGGTGTGTAGGAGGCAGCTGATTGATGTTTCTCTCTCATCAATGTTTCTAACTCTCTTTCCCTCTCCCTTCCTCTCTGAAAAAATAATCAATAAAATATATATATATTTTTAAAATCAACACACAAAAAAGTTATTAACCAATGTCAACCCCATAAATTTAATGAAAAACCAACAAACAAAATGACAAGGATTCACTCAAGAAACATCTGAATACCAGAAATGTAGGACTTAACAGTTACCTTGGATTGCAATGACTATAATTAAAGAGTTTTTCTCAAG